TCTACTAACTTCCCTACTCTGTTTTTAGCTGACAAATCCATTCGTTCCCTAGGCTTTCTTAACTTGTTTATCTCACTCCAGAATCTTTTCTTATTTTCTTCAAAATTTCTTGACAGTGCCTCTCCCACTGTATCAACTGCTCTCCTTTTGCACTCTCTCACCACTCTCTTTACCTTTCTTTTACTCTCCATATACTCTGCTCTTCTTATATCACTTCTGCTTTGTAAAAACCTCTCATAAGCTACCTTTTTCTCGTTTATCACACCCATTACTTCATCATTCCACCAATCACTCCTCTTTCCTCCTGCACCCACCTTCCTTTAGCCACAAACTTCTGCCCCACATTCTAATACTGCATTTTTAAAACTATTCCAACCCTCTTCAACCCCCCACTACTCATACTTGCACCAGCCCACCTTTCTGCCAATAGTTGCTTATATCTCACCCTAACTTCCTCCTCCCTTAGTTTATACACTTTCACCTCTCTCTTACTTGTTGTCATTTTCCTTTTGTCCCATCTGCCTCTTACTCTAACTGTAGCTACAACTAAATAATGATCTGATATATCAGTTGCCCCTCTATAAACATGTACATCCTGGAGCCTACCCATCAACCTTTTATCCACCAATACATAATCTAACAAACTTTTATTATGTGCTATATCATACCTTGTATACTTATTTATCCTCTTTTTCATAAAATATTTTATTACTTATTACCAAACCTCTTTCTTCATATAGTTCAATTAAAGGCTCCCCATTTTCATTTACCCCTGGCACCCCAAATTTACCTATTACTCCCTCCACAACATTTTTACCCACTTCAGCATTGAGATCCCCAACCACAAGTACTCTCGCACTTGGTTCAGAACTCCCCATGCACTCAATCAACATTTCCCAAAATCTCTCTCTCTCTTCTACACTTCTCTCTTCTCCAGGTTCATATACGCTTACTATAACCCACTTTTCACATCCAACCCTTATTTTACTCCACATCATCTTTGAATTAGTACATTTATATTCCCTCTTTTCCTGCCATAACTTATCCTTCAGCATTATTGCTACAAAATTTCATCCTTCTTTAGCTCTAGCTCTATTTGAAACCCCTGACCTAATCCCATTTATTCCTCTCCACTGAAACTCTCCCACCCCCATCCAGCTTCTTCTCATTCATAACATCCACAATCATCTCTTTCTTATCATTTGCACATCTACGCACATTCAAACATCCCACTTTGACGGGTTTTTCTTTTTAGTAAGCTATATGGGAAAAGGGGTTACTAGCCCATTGTTCCCGGCATTTTAGTTGACTTTTACAACACGCATGACTTACGGAGGAAAGATTCTTATTCCACTTCCCCATGGATATAAAAGTAAAAGCAATAAGAACAAGAACTATTAAGACAAAATCAAAGAAAACTCAGATGAGTGTGTATACATAAACGTGTACATGTATGTGTAGTGTGACCTAAGTGTAAGTAGAAGTAGCAAGACGTACCTGAACTCTTGCATGTTTATAACACAGAAAAAAGAAACCAGCAATCCTACCATCATGTCAAACAATTACAGGCTTTCGTTTTACGCTTACTTGGCAGGACGGTAGTACCTCCCTGGGCGGTTGTTGTCTACCAACCAACTATCGCGAACAATATCGCGAACAAGCGATGCATGATGCAAAACCACGGGAGGTGAATAATAGCTCTAGGCCTTTTATGTTGCAATCAACACATCAGGAGCTTGAAATGTTGCAGAAAAGAGGAGGTCCAAGCTGATACGATCACAAGGAGCGCCTTTGCTCCAGCAAAAACGCTCCCTGTGACTTTCTAGCTCCTGCCACAGTGAGTTTGTGTGTATACTCACCTATTTGTACTCACCTATTTGTGGTTGCAGGGGTCGAGTCACAGCTCCTGGCCCCGCCTCTTCGCTGATTGCTACTAGGTCCTCTCTCTCCCTGCCCCACGAGCTCTATCATACCTCGCCTTAAAACTATGTATGGTTCCTGCCTCCACCACATCACTTTCTAGGCTATTCCATGGCCTGACTACTCTATGACTGAAGAAATACTTCCTAACATCCCTTTGATTCATCTGAGTCTTCAACTTCCAATTGTGACCTCTTGTGTCTGTGTCCCATCTCTGGAACATCCCATCTTTGTCCACCTCGTCTATTCCGCGCAGTATTTTATATGTTGTTATCATGTCTCCCCTGACCCTCCTGGCCTCCAGTGTCGTCAGGCCGATTTCCCTCAACCTTTCTTCATAGGACAATCCCCGTAGCTCTGGGACTAGTCTTGTTGCAAACCTTTGCACTTTCTCTAATTTCTTGACGTGCTTGACTAGGTGTGGATTCCAAACTGGTGCTGCATACTCCAGTATGGGCCTGACGTAGATGGTGTACAGAGTCTTAAACGAATCCTTACTGAGGTATCGGAACGCTATCCGTAGGTTTGCCAGGCGCCCGTATGCTGCAGCAGTTATCTGATTGATGTGCGCCTCAGGAGATATGCTCGGTGTTATACACACCCCCAGATCTTTTTCCTTGAGTGAGGTTTGCAGTCTTTGGCCATCTAAACTATATTGTGTCTGCGGTCTTCTTTGCCCTTCCCCAATCTTCATGACTTTGCATTTGGCAGGGTTAAATTCAAGGAGCCAGTTGCTGGACCAGGCTTGTAGCCTGTCCAGATCTCTTTGTAGTCCTGCCTGATCCTCGTCCGATTCGATTCTTCTCATTAACTTCACATCGTCTGCAAACAAGGACACTTCTGAGTCTATCCCTTCCGTTATGTCGTTCACGTATACCAAGAACAGCACAGGTCCTAGGACTGACCCCTGTGGAACCCCGCTTGTCACAGGCGCCCACTCTGACACCTCGTCGCGTACCATGACTCGTTGTTGCCTCCCTGTCAGTGTGTGTGTGTTAGTTAGTTAGTTAGTTAGTTACCATTTTGTCCTAGGCACATGTCGATTAGACACTAGGCCTGTTGTACGTGTGTGTGTGTGTGTGTATGCGTGTGTGTATGCGTGTGTGTGTATGCGTGAGTGTATGTGTATGTGTGTGTGTGTATGCGTGTGTGTGTGTGTGTGTGTGTGTGTGTGTGTGTGTGTGTGTGTGTGTGTGTGTGTGTGTGTGTGTGTGTGTGTGTGTGTGTGTGAGAGAGATAATATGCCAGACACAGGGGTGGTGGGGTAGGATGTAAGGGTAAGTAAGGGGGTCGAAGAGATAAGAAACAGCATTAGTTTAGGAAGGTAGTCATAACTCTGGTGTTGTTACCTTATATAACAAAGGTTAGATAGATGACGGAAGAGAACTGACGCGGCACTCTGGTAGCAGCTTAATGAATAATTCACTGTGTGTACCTGTGTATCATTGTACCACTGTAAACACACATCTGTACCAGTACTCACACTTGTACCCTCACACCTGCACTCTCACACCTGTACTCTCACACATGTACTCTCACACCTGTACTCTCACACCTGTAAACTCTCAGTATGTTTACACTTAATGTTTGCCAAAATCCATAATTTAGAACTTTTAATTAATCTTGGGTGATTGTGTGCAGTTGAAACAGCCATGATGATCCTCGTGGAGACAGTGTACAAGTCTACAACACTCCCACAGCTGTCTGTCCTTCACACACTGCAACGCTGTCAGTTCTCTACTGCTTTAATTTTTTCTTCTTCAGTAATACACCTAATTACACAATAGTAGTAAATAGGTAGACGTACCTAGTTCTTGTCAACAGTCAGTTTCGGTGAGGACTCACAATCTGCATTCTTTCTTGCCCATATACTCTCATGTATATACACAAACAATATTAGTAATAATGCTGATATATATATATATATAATATATATATATATATATATATATATATATATATATATATATATATATATATATATAAACACTGATCTCTGGCTGAAGGAGATTCAAACCTACGAACCTTGGAACAAGGTACGCAGTGCTTTACCAATCTACCCACACTGGACCAATACCTTGCAGTCCAGCTTGCGCTAGACTTTGATCCAAGGCAGCCAGCTTTTAGGGAGAAGGCTTACAGCTTTTCATCTCATCCCCTGCATGCATCAGCCTTAGTAGAGATGAAAAGCTGTAAGCCTTCTCCCTGAAAGTTGGCTGCCTTGGATCAAAGTCTAGCGCAAGCTGGACTGCAAGGTATTGGTCCAGTGTGGGTAGATTGGTAAAGCACTGCGTACCTTGTTCCAAGGTTCGTAGGTTTGAATCTCCTTCAGCCAGAGATCATGTTTGTGTATATTTCGCCTGCTCTTGCGAATTCCTTGTGTGTGTGTATATATATATATATATATATATATATATATATATATATATATATATATATATATAATATATATATATATATAATATATATATATATATATTATATTTCTTCTTCTTATTCTTTTTAGTAATCTTTACAGGAAAAGGGGTTACTAGCCCATTGTTCCCGGCATTTTAGTTGACTTTTACAACACGCATGGCTTACGGAGGAAAGATTCTTATTCCACTTCCCATGGATATAAAAGGAAAATTAATAAGACCAAGAACTATTAAGATAAAATCAAAGAAAACTCAGATGAGTGTGTATAAATAAATGTGTACATGTATGTGTAGTGTGACCTAAGTGTAAGTAGAAGTAGCAAGACATGCCTGTAATCTTGCATATTTATGAGACAGACAAAAGACATCAGCAATCCTACCATCATGTAAAACAATCACAGGCTTCGTTTTACACTCACTTGGCAGGACGGTAGTACCTCCCTGGGTGGTTGCTGTCTACCAACCTACTACCTGCCTCGGTGGGAGACGGCCGACTTGTTGAAAAAAAAATATATATATATATATATATATATATATATATATATATATATATATATATATATATATATATATATATATATATATATATATATAATCAGGATTACCTCCACCACCTTGTGGCTGGAGGGAGCAACCCTGGAAATAACTGGAGTAGTTACCTACCTTGGGAGTATATGGACCGACCCTGGAGGAGGAGCGGGAGTGATGGTGGACAGGCGGGGTACGTCCTACCCTGGACGGGGGACGGGAGTGGGTGACAGCCAGTTTGTGGATGATGTTCCCCAGTCATCCACTACAAGTTGGCCTTGTCGTTCTCCTCCTCCCCTTCCTTCTCCTTCTCCTTCTCCTCCTCCTCCGCTTCCTCCTCGGGCGTCAGGACTTCTGGGGCTAAGTGGCGGGGCTGTCTCTCATGAATATTCCTCACGGTAAAGATTATCACGCTGTGTCAGTCACTACAGTCTCTGTACCACTGTGTCGATCACTACACTCTCTGTACCACTGTATCGATCACTACACTCTGTTTCACCCACTACGTTACTTCAGGTACACATATCAGCAACTGTTGTATTCCTCAAATTGTACTACCTGGGAGCCAAGTTGAGAAAGATATAAAACACACACACACACACACACACACACACACACACACACACACACACACACACACACACACACACACACACACACACACACACACACTATGATGATGCTGGAGGGACCAATTCTACACACTGGAATTACTCCTTACCAGAGCACGAAACTTGGTAGGTGTAAAATACCCATAATGCAAAGAGGAATGCAATAAGTAAACTAAGAGTTAACTAAGTATATTGGGTCCTAAACCTTTCAACACCTCCTTCAAACACTAGACCCATAACTGTCTTCAAGAATCTTAAAAAGTTCCTCCTGACCATTCTGTATTAACCGTCGTACTGCCTTCATCGAGTACCAACCATCTGTTTGATCAGGTCATTATCCAGGAGGTCTGGTCTGAGACCTTATCGTAGATTTAAAAGGAAATCACTCGCAGAGTGATTATGATTATCATGGGGGAGCGCTAAACCCGTAGAATTATACAGCGCCTGTGGGGGGGAGGATATGGAAGGTATTTAGACTTAATTCAGGTAACTGGAGCACAGATCCAATTCCCTAGATCAAGAGCCCCTCACCAGCGTCAAGGAACTTCCCTCGAGGGAGACGGAATCTAGAGTGATGTAGAGTGCGTACCAGAACTCTGGGTTTTCCTCTGAGTCACTAGAAGTACTGTGTTGCACACTGCTGCATCGTTATGTTGCAAGTGTTGCAACAGCGCCTCCTTGTAGTTTCCAGCCCAGTCTTTACTGTTATCTTAAACGCTGCTCACCGACCACTTCTTTGTATCTGTTGCAGCTGCTCTTAGTGTATCATTACACCTGTCGCACGAAGACCATTATTCCCACACCTGTAGCTGACTGACCAGTGTTCCCACACCTGTAGCTGACTGACCAGTCTTCCCACAATTGTAGCTGACTGACCAGTCTTCCCACAATTGTAGCTGACTGACCAGACTTTCCACACCTGTAGCTAACTGACCAGTCTTCCCACACCTGTAGCTAACTGACCAGTCTTCCCACACCTGTAGCTGACTGGCCAGTCTTCCCACACCTGTAGCTGACAAGCCAGTCTTCCCACACCTGTAGCTGACCAGTCTTCCCACACCTGTAGCTGGCAAGCCAGTCTTCCCACACATGCAGTGACTGCTGCAGTATCCCACCACCACTGGAGTTTACCTGGACTACCACTAAACCATGTATACCGCCTAGACAATGTAATACAACTGTACCAGTAGTGAAACTAGCATTGTTTATATATTAACCATTACAACCATCTACTTATTCAGTTCATCAAGAACTGCAAGAAGCCCCTATCACGAGCCTTTTCCATCCTATGGAGAGGGAGCATGGACACGGGGGTCGTCCCACAGTTACTAAAAACAACAGACATAGCCCCACTCCACAAAGGGGGCAGTAAAGCAACAGCCAAGAACTACAGACCGATAGCACTAACATCCCATATCATAAAAATCTTTGAAAGGGTCCTAAGAAGCAAGATCACCACCCATCTAGAAACCCATCAGTTACACAACCCAGGGCAACATGGGTTTAGAACAGGTCGCTCCTGTCTGTCTCAACTTTTGGATCACTACGACAAGGTCCTAGATGCACTAGAAGACAAAAAGAATGCAGATGTAATATATTCAGACTTTGCAAAAGCCTTCGACAAGTGTGACCATGGCGTAATAGCGCATAAAATGCGTGCTAAAGGAATAACAGGAAAAGTCGGTCGATGGATCTATAATTTCCTCACTAACAGAACACAGAGAGTAGTCGTCAACAGAGTAAAGTCCGAGGCAGCTACGGTGAAAAGCTCTGTTCCACAAGGCACAGTACTCGCTCCCATCTTGTTCCTCATCCTCATATCCGACACAGACAAGGATGTCAGCCACAGCACCGTGTCTTCCTTTGCAGATGACACCCGAATCTGCATGACAGTGTCTTCCATTGCAGACACTGCAAGGCTCCAGGCGGACATCAACCAAATCTTTCAGTGGGCTGCAGAAAACAATATGAAGTTCAACGATGAGAAATTTCAATTACTCAGATATGGTAAACACGAGGAAATTAAATCTTCATCAGAGTACAAAACAAATTCTGGCCACAAAATAGAGCGAAACACCAACGTCAAAGACCTGGGAGTGATCATGTCGGAGGATCTCACCTTCAAGGACCATAACATTGTATCAATCGCATCTGCTAGAAAAATGACAGGATGGATAATGAGAACCTTCAAAACTAGGGAGGCCAAGCCCATGATGACACTCTTCAGGTCACTTGTTCTATCTAGGCTGGAATATTGCTGCACACTAACAGCACCTTTCAAGGCAGGTGAAATTGCTGACCTAGAAAATGTACAGAGAACCTTCACGGCGCGCATAACGGAGATAAAACACCTCAATTACTGGGAGCGCTTGAGGTTCCTAAACCTGTATTCCCTGGAACGCAGGCGGGAGAGATACATGATTATATACACCTGGAAAATCCTAGAGGGACTAGTACCGAACTTGCACACGAAAATCACTCACTACGAAAGCAAAAGACTTTGCAGACGATGCAACATCCCCCCAATGAAAAGCAGGGGTGTCACTAGCACGTTAAGAGACCACACAATAAGTGTCAGGGGCTCGAGACTGTTCAACTGCCTCCCATCATACATAAGGGGGATTACCAACAGACCCCTGGCAGTCTTCAAGCTGGCACTGGACAAGCACCTGAAGTCGGTTCCTGACCAGCCGGGCTGTGGCTCGTACGTTCGTTTGCGTGCAGCCAGCAGTAACAGCCTGGTTGATCAGGCTCTGATCCACCAGGAGGCCTGGTCACAGACAGGGCCGCGGGGGCGTTGACCCCCGGAACTCTCTCCAGGTAAACTCCAGGTATACCGCATCTGTCATCATCAGACTGACACTATCACCGCTCCACTCTCCTGTTACTATTGCACAAATTATATTTACGAAGCCAATACAGTCAGTCATAATTTGTATTTCACAATCCACAATTCATGTCCTGTAACGAAATTTAGACAAAAGAGTCAATATCCCCATTCTTTATGTCCTAAGAGAGGTCGGGTTTTTAGGCGAGCACACTGTGCGGGTGGCACTCTGGGGAGAGTGGGTGCAGCAAGTGTGGCCCTATAAGTGTGGCCCTGCTAATGTGGCCCTGTTAATGTGGCCCTAATGTGGCCCTGCCAGTGTGACCCTGCCAGTGTGACCCTGCCAGTGTGACTGCCAGTATGGCCCTGTTAATGTGGCTCTACTAGTGTGGCTCTCCCAGTGTGATCCTGCCAGTGTGATCCTGCCAGTGTGAGCCTACTAGTGTGGCCCTGCCAGTGTGGCTCAGAGAGTGTGGCTCTACTAGTGTGGCCCTGCTAATGTGGCCATGCCAGTGTGGTCCTGCAAGTGTAGCCCTGCTAGTGTGATCCTGCTACTGTGCCTTACTAGTGTGGCCCTGCCAGTATGGCACTATCAGTGTGGCTGTGCTAGTGTGGCCTGCCAGTGTATCCCTGCTAGTGTGCCCCCTGCTAGTGTGACCCTGCCAGTGTGGCAATGCTAGTGTGGCAATGCTAGTATGGCTCTGCTAGTGCCACCCTGCTAGTGTGGTCCTGTTAGTGTGGTCCTGCCAGTGTGACCCTGCTAGTGTGGCCCTGCCAGTGAGGCAATGCTAGTGTGGCCCTGCCAGTGTGGCAATGCTAGTATGACTCTGCTAGTGTGGTCCTGCCAGTGTGACTGCCAGTGTGACTCTGCTAGTTTGGCAATGCTAATGTCACCCTGCCAATGTGGCAATGCTAGTGTGGCCTGCCAGTGTGGCCCTGCTAGTGTGACCCTGCTAGTTTGGCAATGCTAATGTCACCCTGCTAGTGTGACCCTGCCAGTGTGGCAATGCTTGTGTGGCCCTGCCAGTATGGCCCTGCTAGTGTGACCCTGTCAGTGTGGCAATGCTAGTGTGACCCTGTCAGTGTGACCCTGTGCTAGTGTGGCTCTGCCAGTTTGACCCCTGCTAGTGTGGCTAGATCAGTGTGGCAATGCTAGTGTGGCTCTTCCATTGTGACCCTGCTAGTGTGGTCCAGCCAATGTGACCCTGCCAGTAGGACCCTACTAGTGTGGCCCTGCTAGTGTGACCCTGCCAGTGTGGCCCTGCTGATGTGGCCGTACTAGTGTGACCCTGCCAGAGTGAACCTGCCAGAGTGAACCTGCCAATGTGGCCCTGCCAGTGTGGCCCTACAAGTGTGGTCTTCCCAGTGTAGCCCTGCTACTGTGATCCTGTTACTGTGGCTCTACTAGTGTGCCTCTGCCAGTGTGACCCTGCCAATGTGGCAATGCTAGTGTGGCCCTGCCAATGTGGCAATGCTAGTGTGGCCCTGCCAGTGTGGCAATGCTAGTGTGGCTCTGCCAGTGTGACTCTGCTAGTGTGGTCCTACCAGTGTGATCCTGCCAGTGTGGCAATACTAGTGTGGCTCTGCCAATGTGGCAATGCTAGTGTGGCTCTGCCAGTCTGACCCTGCTAGTGTGGTCCTGCCAGTGTGGTCCTGCCAGTGTGGCTCTGCCAGTGTGATCCTGCTAGTGTGACCCTGCCAGTGTAGCAATGCTAGTGTGGCCCTGCCAGTGTGGCCCTGCCAGTGTAACCCTGCCAGTGTGACCCTGCCAGTGTGGCCCTGCCAGTGTGGCCCTGCCAGTGTGACCCTGCCAGTGTGGCCCTGCCAGTGTGACCCTGCCAGTGTGGCCCTGCCAGTGTGACCCTGCCAGTGTGGCCCTGCCAGTGTGACCCTGCCAGTGTGACCCTGCCAGTGTGGCCCTGCCAGTGTGACCCTGCCAGTGTGACCCTGCCAGTGTGACCCTGCCAGTGTGGCCCTGCCAGTGTGACCCTGCCAGTGTGGCCCTGCCAGTGTGACCCTGCCAGTGTGGCCCTGCCAGTGTGACCCTGCCAGCGTGGCCCTGCCAGTGTGGCCCTGCCAGTGTGACCCTGCCAGTGTGACCCTGCCAGTGTGGCCCTGCCAGTGTGGCCCTGCCAGTGTGACCCTGCCAGTGTGACCCTGCCAGTGTGACCCTGCCAGTGTGACCCTGCTTGTGAGAGAGGTAGTGGTGGTGAGAAATATTTACAAGTTTTCAATAATGCTCACAGAGAACTCTGCTCGTTATTGACAACTGTATCGACGTATCTGTTGCGACTCGCATCAACGGCAAACAATGGGTTCTGAGACCATTTGGTCAGGATCGACGGTAAACAACGAATTCTAACACTCTACAGACAGATTTAAGGTTCTAAGAACATTTAAGAAAGTTTACAATGGCAAATTGGGGATTCCAAAACCATTTAAGAAGGTTTATGAAGTAAACAATGGGTTCTAAAACCATTTAGAAACGTTTCAGTGGAAAACAGTTGGTTCTAAGACCATTTAAGACCATTATATTATATATATATATATATATATATATTATATATATATATATATATATATATATATATATATATATACCACGCGCCGTGAGAGTAGTGTCATACAGGGTCGTGACATCAGTGACACACTGCCGTAACGACAGTGACACACATGAACATGACATTTGTGGGACACACTACACAACACAGCCGTGACAGTAGTGAGACAACACAACCGTGACAGTAGTGAGACACTACACAACAGCCGTGACAGTAGTGAGACACTACACAACAGCCGTGACAGTAGTGAGACACTACACAACACAGCCGTGACAGTAGTGAGACACTACACAACACAGCCGTGACAGTAGTGAGACACTACACAACACAGCCGTGACAGTAGTGAGACACTACACAACACAGCCGTGACAGTAGTGAGACACTACACAACACAGCCGTGGACAGTAGTGAGACACTACACAACACAGCTGTGACAGTAGTGAGACACTATACCAACACAGCCGTGACAGTAGTGAGACACTACACAACACAGCCCGTGACAGTAGTGAGACACTACACAACACAGCCGTGACAGTAGTGAGACACTACACAACACAGCCGTGACAGTAGTGAGACACTACACAACCGTGACAGTAGTGAGACACTACACAACCGTGACAGTAGTGAGACACTACACAACCGTGACAGTAGTGAGACACTACACAACACAGCTGTGACAGTAGTGAGAGACACTACACAACACAGCCGTGACAATAGTAGGAGACACTACAAAACACAGCCGTGACAATAGTGATACACTACACAAGACAGCCGTGACAATAGTGAGAGACAGTAACAACACCTCCACACGACACAACACAAGACGGAACACTGGTGGTGGTGGGGCTGATGTAACTCTGCCAGCCCCAACATTCTCCACACTCTCCTCCCCCCCACCCTCCCTCCCATACATCCTCAATACTATCCCCCACCTTGTCTCCCTCACCACACCAACATAACTCTCCAACAAACCCCCCCATCCACCACCACTGCACCTCACACTAACACTGCAAACTGCTGCAAACAATCTCTCAGAGTTGTGTTAGATGAGAAAAATGAAATACTTGATAATATCCTCATTATCCTACTGAAGTTTCCCAGCTCAGACTGACACTACTGAAGTTTCCCAGCTCAGACTGACACTACTGAAGTCTCCCAGCTCAGACTGACACTACTGAAGTCTACCACCTCAGGCTGACACTACTGAAGTCTCCCAGCTCAGACTGACACTACTGAAGTCTCCCAGCTCAGGTTGACACTACTGAAGTCTCCCAGCTCAGGTTGACACTACTGAAGTCTCCCAGCTCAGGTTGACACTACTGAAGTCTATCACCTCAGGTTGACACTACTGAAGTCTCCCAGCTCAGGTTGACACTACTGAAGTCTATCACCTCAGGTTGACACTACTGAAGTCTCCCAGCTCAGGTTGACACTACTGAAGTCTACCACCTCAGGTTGACACTACTGAAGTCTATCACCTCAGGTTGACACTACTGAAGTCTCCCAGCTCAGACTGACACTGGAGTTTACCTGGAGACCTGGAGAGAGTTCCGGGGGTCAACGCCCCCGCGGCCCGGTCTGTGACCAGGCCTCCTGGTGGATCAGAGCCTGATCAACCAGGCTGTTGCTGCTGGCTGCACGCAAACCAACGTACGAGCCACAGCCCGGCTGGTCAGGAACCGACTTTAGGTGCTTGTCCAGTGTCAGCTTGAAGACTGCCAGGGGTCTGTTGGTAATACCCCTTATGTATGTTGGGAGGCAGTTGAACAGTCTCGGGCCCCTGACACTTATTGTATGGTCTCTTAACGTGCTAGTGACACCCCTGCTTTTCATTGGGGGGATGTTGCATCGTCTGCCAAGTCTTTTGCTTTCGTAGTGAGTGATTTTCGTGTGCAAGTTCGGTACTAGTCCCTCTAGGATTTTCCAGGTGTATATAATCATGTATCTCTCCCGCCTGCGTTCCAGGGAATACAGGTTTAGGAACCTCAAGCGCTCCCAGTAATTGAGGTGTTTTATCTCCGTTATGCACGCCGTGAAGGTTCTCTGTACATTTTCTAGGTCAGCAATTTCACCTGCCTTGAAAGGTGCTGTTAGTGTGTGCAGCAATATTCCAGCCTAGATAGAACAAGTGACCTGAAGAGTGTCATCATGGGCTTGGCCTCCCTAGTTTTGAGGTTCTCTTATCCATCCTGTCATTTTTCTAGCAGATGCGATTGATACAATGTTATGGTCCTTGAAGGTGAGATCCTCCGACATGATCACTCCCAGGTCTTTGACGTTGGTGTTTCGCTCTATTTTGTGGCCAGAATTTGTTTTGTACTCTGATGAAGATTTAATTTCCTCGTGTTTACCATATCTGAGTAATTGAAATTTCTCATCGTTGAACTTCATATTGTTTTCTGCAGCCCACTGAAAGATTCGGTTGATGTCCGACTGGAGCCTTGCAGTGTCTGCAATGGAAGACAATGTCATGCAGATTCAGGTGTCATCTGCAAAGGAAGACACGGTGCTGTGGCTGACTTCCTTGTCTATGTCGGATATGAGGATGAGGAACAAGATGGGAGCGAGTACTGTGCCTTGTGGAACAGAGCTTTTCACCGTAGCTGCCTCGGACTTTACTCTGTTGACGACTACTCTCTGTGTTCTGTTAGTGAGGAAATTATAGATCCATCGACCGACTTTTCCTGTTATTCCTTTAGCACGCATTTTGTGCACTATTACGCCATGGTCACACTTGTCGAAGGCTTTTGCAAAGTCTGTATATATTACATCTGCATTCTTTTTATCTTCTAGTGCATTTAGGACCTTGTCGTAGTGATCCAATAGTTGAGACAGACAGGAGCGACCTGTTCTAAACCCATGTTGCCTTGGGTTATGTAACTGATGGGTTTCTAGATGGGTGGTGATCTTGCTTCTTAGGACCCTTTCAAAGATTTTTATGATATGGGATGTTAGTGCTATCGGTCTGTAGTTCTTTGCTGTTGCTTTACTGCCCCCTTTGTGGAGTGGGGCTATGTCTGTTGTTTTTAGTAACTGTGGGACGACCCCAGTGTCCATGCTCCCTCTCCATAGGATGGAAAAGGCTCGTGATAGGGGCTTCTTGCAGTTCTTGATGAACACGGAGTTCCATGAGTCTGGCCCTGGGGCAGAGTGCATGGGCATGTCATTTATCGCTTGTTCGAAGTCATTTGGCGTCAGGATAACATCGGATAGGCTTGTGTTAACCAAATTTTGTGGCTCTCTCATAAAAAATCATTTTGATCTTCGACTCTCAGTCTGGTTAGCGGCTTGCTAAAAACTGAGTCATATTGGGACTTGAGTAGCTCATTCATTACTTGCTGTCATCTGTGTAGGACCCATCTTGTTTAAGTAGGGGCCCAATACTGGATGTTGTTCTAGGACTTTGATTTGGCATAGGAGAAGAAATACTTTGGGTTTCTTTCGATTTCATTTATGGCTTTTAGTTCTTCCCGCGATTCTTGACTCCTATGAGATTCCTTTAGCTTGAGTTCGATGCTTGCTATTTCTCTGACCAGTGTCTCCCTACGCATTTCAGATATATTGACCTCTTTTAGCCGCTCTGTTATTCTTTTCCGTCGCCTGTAAAGGGAGCGCCTGTCTCTTTCTATTTTACATCTACTCCCCCTTTTTCTTAGAGGAATAACCCTTGTGCAAAAACCCGAGTGCCCCCAATTTTAATTTTGTTCGGGCATCCGTTGGGGTCTGTGTTGTTGTATTCTTCCCAGTTTATATGGGTTAGGATTTGGGTTTTTACTTGGCCCCACCTTTTTTTTTTGTTATTGAAGTTGAATTTGGTGAATGCTCCCTGTGTATTTCCTTTTTGTCGGTCTGGGGCCCCCCGCTTTAATGTCTAAACCCTCAATTTGTTGTGATTGAGATATGTTTTTGTAGGGTGTATTTCTTATCGATTAAAATTTTTAGTGAAGATGGGTCTAGGTTTCCCCAGTCTAGTGGTTATTATTTGCGGGTTTTTAAATTAATTTTGTTTGCAGAGTTTTTTTTTAAAAAGCTCGTGTGTGTGAGTTTTCTCAGAGTGCCCTTGGTTTTGTTACTCAAAATTTTTTTTTGCTGTATTCCCCCCATTTTGGTGCCTTAAGTTGAAATCTCCAGGAGAAGATGTTGGGTGCGGGCTGGGATTTCCAGCGGGGTCAATTTTTAAACAGTTTTCCCTGGAATTGCGGGGGAGTTGCACGGAGGCTTGTAATACCACAAGATTTTTTTTGGGTTTTCCGCCCTTTTATTCAAAAAACTTCCATACATCATTGAGGCATTTAGCAGTTCTGTGCAAAACAAGGACTCTGAATGTACAGGCCCCCCCCCCCCCTTTTTGCCTGTTCACTCTGTCATCTGTTAGGTTGAAACCTGGGTCCATATTTCGTTGTAAGTGCCCTTTTGGGGGTTTCCAGTGAAACCCGGAAACATTCCCTTTGCCTCTGCAGCAGTCCACGGATGAAAGGTATTTTGTTTTTTGTTGCGGCTTTAGCCCTTATATTTGCAAAAAGTGTCACGGCTGGTGGTTTGTTGGTAGGGGGGGGGGGGGATTTTTTTTTCCGGCTAGTATCTGTATCTGTTGGTTTGGATGGGGGCCCATCGACTGTGGTTCCACCCCGGAAAAAAAGGATTTTGTGTACGTTTTCTCCCTTTTTTCCTGCCATTTTTTTTTTTCCTTTCCCTGGCACAAAAAAAACCTTCCCTTGAAGTCCCCCAGCTCAGACTGCCCTACTAAAGTTCTCCCACCTCGGTTTGAACTATAAAGTCTACCCTCGGGTTTTGACGTTATGAAGTCTCCCCCCTCGGTTGACAATATAAAAGTTCCCGTCAGACTGCATTGAAGTTCCCAGTCGATGACCTACTAAAGTCCCCCAGCTCAGACGCCCTTACTGAGGTCTCCCGCTTTGACTAAAATATAAAGTCCCCCAGCTCAGACTGACCTATGAAAGTCTCCCAGCTCAGGGGACATACAAATCTCCCAGCCGGGTGCATACAAAATTTCCCCAGCTCAGGGTGAACACTGAAGTCTCCCAGTCGGGTTGTATATGAAGCCCCCCGCTCAGACTGCACTCGAAGTCTCCCGCTCAGACGCACTATGAAGTTCCCGCTCGAGACATATGAAGTCCCCAGCTCGCTGACAAAACTGTAGTTCTGCTCAGTGACACAATGAAGTCCCCCAGCCAGATGACACTATAAAGTTCCCAGCTCGACTGACACTATGAAGTCTCCCGCTCGGGACTGAAAATACTGAAGTTCCCAGTAGACTGACACTACTGAAGTCCCCCCGCTCAGACGCCCTACTGAAGTCCCCCAGCTCGCGCATATGAAGTCTCCCGCTCTGATAACAATACTGAAGTCTCCCAGCCAGATGACCTACTGAAGTTCCCCCTCGACTGACAATTGAAGTCTCCAGCTCGATGACATATGAAGTCCCCCCCAGAAGGGTGCACTCTGAAGTCCCCCAGTAGGGTGACACTACTGAAGTCTCCAGCTCAGGTTGCCCACTATAAAAGTTCCCCCAGTCAGATGACACTTGAAGTTCCCCGTCAGATGACAATCTAAAGTTCCCGCTCAGACTGACAATACTAAAGTTCCCAGCTAGGGTGACAACTAAAATCTCCCAGCTCAGGTTGACATACTAAAGTCCCCCAGCCAGATGAACTACTGAAGTCCCAGTCGACTGCCCTATGAAGTCTCCCGCTCAGATGACACTACTGAAGTCCCCGCTCAGATGACATTTCTAAAGCCCCCCAGTCGACTGACACTACTAAAGCCCCCAGCTCAGAGACACTACTGAAGTCCCCCAGTCAACTGAATACTGAAGTCCTCAGCTCAGTTGA